AATTTAGATGGCTAAGATACTCAGGCCTTGCAATGCTGAGCAGAAGAACACTTAAATAACTATAAAAAGCTGGCCTTGACCTCTTTGTGCCTCAGTTCTCCATCTGTAAAATGGGATGACAGACAAGTACTATCTCACAAGGGGGTTGTGAGAATACATACATGAAAGTTTGTGAGGTGCTCAAATACTGTGATAACAGAGGCTATATAAGAACTGAAACAGACAGTGTAAGAGCCTAGACTAGAACTCCCGTCCTGTACCCATTATGTACTGTTCATGGCTTTTATTTATATGACCAATAGTAAAACTGTGTTGATCCTGCCCACATTTTTCTCCATGAACTTGGTGGACAACAAACATAAGCTTATTGAGATGATAATAGGGCTCTGCAGTTATCATGGGCAAAATTCTGCCTTCACTTTCTCTAAGCAACCCCACTAAACCTGCTTTGACATGATAGACTGCAATGGTTTCCAAAGACTTATGGCAGAAAGTTGTGTGGTCTTTAGTGATGTCCATGAGGATGTTAAAAAACCCATATCTATATAGCTATATCTATCTTATCATTAGAGATGGCCAAAATGGTTCAGGGAGGTCCTTATTTTATCAGAAACAAACCCAATCCCAAAGAGTTCTTAAGGTTCAAAAAAGGGTAACTTTTTTCTTGTTTTAACGTTAATAATTTTTCCCACTTCTGCATAAATTACTCCTCATCTTACTTCTCTGGAAATTCTGCCTCTCACAAACCTGCCCTGCTGCTTCTCCTTTTATCTAAGAAGGTAATCCGAGAGAAGAAACCTTTCTATTTTGATGTAAGGCTAGGGTGTCCTATAGTATTCTTTCATTTAGAGCTAGTCCAAACTTGGCATATCCATCGCATGGGAAATTTTGACATTTCAAAATTCGTTTACATTCCAAATCAGAATGAAAATAAAACATTTCAATATTTCCTGTGAAATAAAATTTTCAAGAACAATTTGTTTTCAGTCAGTCAAAATGTTCTGCTTTGATAAAACTGAAATATTTCAATCTGATTTTGACTTTATTATATTATGGTTTATAATATAAAATCAAACAAAATAAATTTGTAAACAGTAAGCTAAGAAACAAAAAGTTGAAAATATTCCATTGTACCCTTCTTGAAACAGTTTAGATTTTTTTAATGAAATTTTGTCAGAATTGACATATTCCCACAGAATGTTTTACATTTGTAAAAAATAAAAATAAAAAAAGGCATATTCCGAGGGAAAAGCTTTCCATCAGAAAATTTTGAACCTGCTCTGTTTTCATTGTAATTTAGGGCCACTCTACTTATGCTTTTCATAATATGCATCTTGGCTCCCAGCAGCACAGGAGTGAACCCACTGAATGAGGAAATAACACTTGCTACTGCGTAAGGGCTTGAGCCTGCAAGCTGTTGAGCACTTACTGAAAAATGGTGAGTGTCGTCAATTGACTTCAGCTGTAGTCTAATGTTCAGAGCCCAGTTCTGCAAAGCGCTGAGCGCTCTCATCTCTAGTGGAAGAGTGAATGGAAGCTACCCAAAAAAGAGGACCTCTGAAAATAGTTAAAGATGTCAGTCATATCAGTTAATTTTCCCTTGATCCACCTTCTATTCTATCTTTCAATCTCTAAGGCAGTGATACTTTCAAAAGACTAAATTAACACATGCTACAGAACCCTGCCACCATGCATTTGCACTATGTTCAAAATTTTATGCAGCAAGTACACATTTTAACAAAATAATGTAACTATAGTTTGTATACATATACGTGCACGTATGCATATATGTGATGCATGAATCAAGACGGTTGAGGTGTTTAATACCTATTTGGTTCAGTCCTCCCTAAATGAGTTAATGGTGACCAGATACTCAACACAATTACTATTCACAAGGGGGAAGGAGCACAAGCCAGAATAGGGAAAGATCAGGTTAAAGAATATTGAGATAAATTAGATGTATTCAAGTCAACAGGGCCTGATGAAATTCATCCGAGGGTACTTAAAGAACCAGCTGAAGCAATCTCAGACCTGTCAGGGATTACTTTGACAACTTCTGGAGGACAAGATGAGGTTGCAGGTGGTTGGAGAAGTACCTATCTTTAAAAATGGAAACAAAGAGGACCTGGGAAATTATAGGCTAGTCAGCTTAATTTCAATACCTGGAAAGATACTGGAACAAATTATTAAACAATACGTTTGTAGTTACCTAGCGGATAATCCGGCTATAATAATAGACAACATGGATTTGCCAAGAACAAACTATGCCATATCAAACTAATTTCTTTATTTGACAGGGTTATTAGATAGAGGGGAAGCTGTAGATGTGATATTACCTGATTTTTAGTAAGGCTTTTGTCACAGGTCCACATGACATTCTTATAAGCCTAATAGGGAAGTGTGGTCTAAATTAAATTACTATAAGGTGGGTGTATAACTGGTTGAAAAAACATATTTAAAGAGTAGTTATCAATGGTTTGCCATCAAACTGGGAGGATGTATCTAATGAGGTCTTGCCAGGGACCTGTCCTGGGTTCAGTACTATTTAATATTGTTATTAATGACTTGGATAATAGAGTCGAGAGTATGCTTATAAAATCTCTGGATGACACCAAGCTGGGAGGGGTTGCAAACACTTTGGAGGACAGGATTAGAATTCAAAACAACCTTGACAGATTGGATAATTTGTCTGAAATCAACAAGATGAAATTCAGTAAAGACAGGTGCAAAGTATTTCACCTAGGAAAGTAAAATTAAATGCACAACTACAAAATGAGGAATAACTGGCTAGGCAGCAGTACAGCTGTTAAGGGTCTGGGGGTGAGGGTTAACAAAAGAAATATGAGCCAACAATGTGATGCAATTGCTAAAATGGCTAATACCATTCTGGAGCATATTAACAAGAATGTTGTAAGTAAGACACAAAAAGTCATTTTCTAGCTTTACTTGGCACCGCTGAGGCCTCAGCTGGAGTTTTGTGGCAAGTGTTGGGGTTCACACTTAACAAAGATGTAGACAAATTGTAGGGAATCCAGAGATGAGCAACAAAAATGAAAAAGTCTTGAGAAAAGAAGACTGAGGGGGGATGTGACAGCAGTCTTCAAATGTGATAAAGGCTGTTATAAAGAGGACTGTGATTAATTGTTCTCCATGTCCACTGAAGGTAGGCAAGAAGTAATCTGCTTAATCTGCAGCAAAGGAGATTTAGGGTAGACATTAGGAAAATCTTTCTAACTATAATGATAGTTAAGCACTGGAATAGGCTTCCAATGGAGGTTGTGGAATTCCCATTATTGGAGGTTTTTAAGAACGGGTGCGAAAAACACTTGACAGGAATGGTTTATGTATACTTGGCCCTGTCTTAGTGCAGGGGGGCTGGACAGGTGATCCCTCATAGTCACATCTAATGCTACATTTCTATGATTCTGTGCTTTAAAATAATGTTATTTGTCCAGAAGTTTCTAAATCATTTGGTATTTTGCTTCTCAGCACTGAATACTGGAAGTTCTCTTGTGCTTCTATGGCTTTAAAATGCTATTTCTATTTTAAAGTTTGTGAGTGAACGGTGTGTTTGTGAGGGTAAGGGGTGTAATAACACTTTCAGAAGCTAATGAAAAGTCTACAGAATTTCAGAAAAAGTTATATATTTTCTATAGGTGTTTTGGATCATATGTGGAATGGAACAGAAAAGTATATCCCTGCTGTAGAATTATGTAGGATGGTTCAACAAACCTATGGAAAGGAGGACATTTTTTTATTAAATACTCTGTTTTTAGCATGAAATCTATAGGGAACTCTTTACATTTCTATAGAACCCTGTTGATTTAATCCTTTTAAAATTTAATAGGACTTTCCCAAATGGCTGCTTTTCCTCTTCAGCCTTTCATAAGCAACACTTCCAGTTGCGTGGTTGTTAGGCAACGATTGTCAGTATTCTGATGGTTTTCTGACCAAGTCTATTTCAGTTTTAACTTGAGACCTTAGGGATCTACTCCACAGCCCACTGAAGTCAATGAAAAGACATTGAATTCAGTGGGCTTTTGATTAGATCCCAAATCAGGTTTTGAACCAGGTTTCCAGAGGCAAAATGCTAGTTTGCTAGACCACTGGCTATTCAGAACACAAGGAGCTTGTCTTCACTGCAGAGTTAACTCACTTCATAACTCCAGTGTTAACTCAAGACCTGTCCACACAGAAAACCACTTAACACAAGTCTGGTACTTTTTGCTGGCCCCTTGGGAGGGGACCAAGTTAGCACAATTCAGCAGCTGCTAACACAATCACTCTGCGCAGTTCCAGACTCCTTTTGCAGTGTGGCTGCTCTCACTTGAGCTAGGCTTACTCACGAGGAGTTAACTCATGTAGCTAAGTTAACTCTACAGTGCTGATTTAGCCTACATTACATGATAAAGAATGTGCTCATGCATTCCTTAATCATGCCGATCTTCCACTAGCATCAGCCTGATTTCAAATGCAGTTATTGTACGGTTGTCTCAATCATACTTCTGTTTTTTCTTTTTTTTTATGAGTATACCCCATGTATGTCTAATCTGTATTCTCGTGTATGTATTGTACAGCACCACAGATGTGAATTTTTCTTTACAGACAGGTAGAAAATACAGGTCTTTGCTCCTGAACAGCTTACAGTCTACTTGTGAACTACATTCATTCACTCAAATTGTGCTCTCAGTTACACCTGTGCAACCCTTGTTGAATGTAGCGGGGGTTACACAGATCTAAAAGTCTAGAAATTGTCCCACTCTAGGGAATGTAGGGTTACATTACATTCTACCCCCACCAAAGTCAGAGCAATCCCCAAAAGGTATAACCTGGCAATCACGTAAACAGCATTTTTTGGATTGGAGCATTTGGAACACCTTATTGACCAAAGGGGGAAAATAATGTGGATGCTGAACATCAATTTAAATAATGATCCTATAAGACCTTCCATTCACTATAGTCTACATTTTTAATATAAGGAACATTTTCAAATGATTCTTTCAAATGTATGGTACTGTGGTTAGCTTCATAATACTGACAGTAGCTGTTATAAAATGGCGTTACTTAGAGAACTATATTCTGATGTCAGATACTTATCTTTGTTAGCAATATGAATATTTAAAATGATAGTGTGTCAAATAAACTTCAGCCATGAATATATAAATATATCATGAAATGTGATTCAGTCATGAAAAATGTTGTCCATTAGCTGGTAGAAGTAGGTGCCTACATGGAGTTTTCTACTGAGATCAGCTCCCCAAGCTTTCATGCATAATGAATGCAGCCAGTGCACACAATGGGGTGCCATAGTAGATGGATATTAAGGACAGTTTACGCACTGATATGTTGAAAGATTTTCTTGTAACTTTGCAATAAGCAAAACTGTGCTATCGTGCTAATGAAGAAGCAGACTTTTTCTTTGGGCATTCAATTGAAATGGATGTTCTAAGAGTGTCCAAAGAATTCTCCATCTGGATGGACTCTGATTTGGTGCATATCCTAGGCAGGCAGCCTTTGTAGAGTTCTTTGGATTTCTTTCTGAAATGCTTGCCTACAATGACATACAATACTGGATTAAGGCAGCTGTTGCTATAAGCACAGTATGTAGCTACCTGGGTCACCAATTCACTGACCTCTGAAGTAATGCAGTCAGAAATGATGCCGACCTGAATTAATATGTCAATGAATGTGGTGATCTGGAAAGGAAGCCAGCAAATGATAAACAGCAAAAGGACAGCAAGGACCAAGATGGTGGCTCTCTTCTCAGTTTGGAGTTCTGTGAGTCTTTGTATTTTGTTGCCTCGTAAGGCTTTGATTATTTGAATAGTACAATAGGTAATTACACAGAGTGGGATCAAAAAGCCCACAGTATTCAGCACAATGTTTGTTGCAATTGTCCAGTGGGTGGATGGATAATGAAGAATGCAGGCTCTGCCCTTGATTTCTTCCACATAACCGACAGACCTGAACACTAGAGCAGGAGAACATATGAGCAATGCAGACACCCAGATGATAAGGCTATTCCATTTGGCACATGTACCCCGTCGCATACGTCCAAGAGACATGGTTTTCACCAGGGCCAGGTAGCGATCGATGCTCACCATCATCAAAAAATAAATGCTAGAATAAAAGTTCATGTAAATGATTGCATTGACAACCTTGCAAAGGAAAGTGCCAAAAGGCCACTTAAACTGATTACTGATATTAATGGCCCAGAAAGGTAAACCGCAAACTAACATCAAGTCGGAAACTGCCAGGTTTGCCAGGTAAATTTCAGCCACCGTGCAGCGACTCTTGTGGAAACACAAAACACTGAGGACAAAGCCATTCTCTATCACTCCCAGGACAAAAATGACCCAGAGGAACATAGGCTGAAATGTATATAACCAATCCCATGCATCCAATATAATGCAGGTAGAGCTGCTGCTGTTTTCTGATGTGTTGTGTGAAAAAGACTGACTGGTTCCAAGCTTCCAGGTAGTCATACCACTGGAAACATTTTCTGCTGTGATGGAATCCATTTCTCTGCTGGAAAATAAAATGTGAAATAAGATAATTCTATACTGCACATCACTGCTAAAGACATGATAAATAAAGTAAAAATGACTGTTTATATTCCCTAGGAGCATGTCTTTTAACGGAATACAGACTGACAATTAATTGTACATAGCATGTGGTTTATCCTCTTACAGATACTGCATATTTGAAGAGGCTTTGAGACAGTAACCACAGGAGCATCCCAGGTGGATCTCGTTCAAGTGATTGAAAACAGAAGAGATGAAAGAGTGGAAGATCTGTGGTTTGGGATGACTGTAGGGTGACCAGACAGCAAGTGTGAAAAATTGGGACAGAGGTAGGGGGTAATAGGAACCTATATAAGACAAAGCCCCAAACATCGGGATTGTCCCTATAAAATCGGGACATCTGGTCACCCTAGATGACTGAGGCTGGGACAAAATGTTTTTATGGATCATTAATTCCAGCAATATAAAGTAGAGCATTTTTGATACCTTGAGCACACTATTGGTTTTCTTCATGGTTTATCTTTTTGTAGTGTTAAGTGTAGTCTCCTATAGGACAGATTTGTAGTCTCTCTCTCTTTCTTGATAGTTTTATGGTGTGCAGGTGTTGTGCTTGTGGCATCTCACTTGTTGTTTTATACCCTTCCTTGAAAAGTGGTGATTTGGTTTCTACAGGACATGATGATCCTTTTCCCCCTCTTTTTTTTAATGGTTTTTAGACTACAGGGATGGAATGAATGTTGTCAGCAGCTAAGCACCACATTTTCACAAGCAACCATTTAATATGCAACTGCGATTTTGGACGAGTAAATTTGTGAGTGCAAAACCTGCATCTGCCAGCAAATTGGGTCGCTTGCCTTCTCATGGCTGGATTCATATGCTTATTTTTTTGCATCTATAATACCCTGCCTGATCCACAGAGGGTATGAATGTTACAGCCCCAATAAGAGAGTCCTGCTTTTAGTCTGGAGGACCCTGTTTCAGTTCCTGGTCTGATGGCCAAGATGGTGTCTGTCACATAAGTTCGGGCCTGTCCAGGATTTCTGTGGGACAATTTTGATGCCAGGTGACAACCTCTTTGAGAATGTGGCCCTATATTGTTAATATTGCACAGCTTGGAATGCCTTCATGTTTCAGGGGAAGCATTTCATAGGCACTAATGTCACTTAGGTGCATACATTCTGTTGAGTTCACATGGAAGTTGGGTGTTTAGCTGCCACTCTGGGCCTTTGAAAATCTGCCCCTTGCTTGTTACTATTGTATTCATAGATTCCAAGGCCAGCAGGGACCACTGTGATCATCTTGTCCGACCTCCTGCATAACACAGGCCATAGAACTTCCCCAAAATCTTTTAGACAAACATCCCATCAAGATTTAAAAATTGTCAGTGATGAATAATCCACCACTACCCTTGGTAAATTGTTCCAATAGCTAATTACCCTCACTGTGAAAAATTTATGCCTTATTTCCATTCTGAATTTGTCAACATCCAGCTATTGGATCGTGTTATACCTTTTTCTGCTAGACTGAAGAGCCCAATGTCCAATATTCATTATCCACATAGGTTATGGACTGCAATCAAGTCACCGCTTAGCCTTCTCTTTGTTAAGCTAAATAGAGTGAGCTTCTTGAGTCTATCACTATAAGGCATCTTTTCTAATCCTTTAATCATTCTTGTGGCTCTTGTTTGAACCCTCTCCATAATTTCAACTTGCTCTGGAATAGTAGACACCAGGGCTGGACATAATTTTCTAGTAGTCGTCTCACCAGTGACAAATACAGATGTAAAATAACCTCTCTACTCCTACTAGAGATTCCCGTGTTTATGCAGCTAAGAGCATACTGTGACATTTTTAAACTGCAAGATGGTCTTCCTGGGTTTGAGTGTAGCTGTCGGGACTGAGCAACAGGTATGGACTTGCCTTATGCCAAGTCTTTAAAATGCGGTAACTTTTATTATAGTCTTATTGGAAGCTGTGTCAAAAGTATTTTTAATCAGGGCAGTTGTCTGATACAGCTGGCACCTGGACAGCAAAAGGACAACTTTAGATCTCACTGGAGGGGTCTGCTGTCTATTATGCAAATATAGGCTGTGCTCCGGTTACTGCTGTTGCTAGCTGACTGCTGGAAATGTACAATCAAACCCATACTTGCTGGAAGCAGGATTACTGCAAAGCTGACGGTAATTGATTAGTACTGTGGTATCTCAGAACCCCAGTCAAGATCAGGATTCTTTTGTGCAAGGTGCTGTAAAGGCAGGTAACAAAGAAGATAGTCTCTGCCCCAGAGAGTTTAGAATGTAGATGTCAGATAGGGCAGGGGAGTGAAACAGACAGAGGGGGCTGGGAAGATGAGGTAACTTTAAAAGGAACAGAGTTTAGCAGACAAGTAGATATCCTGGTAATCTGTGTATTCATTCCCATGAGCAGTATCCATGCAGTGTTCTCAACTGTCCAGAATTCACATTGTCCAAAATATAACACCTCCTCACACCCATATCTAAACTCAGGTGCATATCCCTGTCCTCTGACATCATCATTTGCTCTCTGTTCTTCTCAGAACCCATTCAAACAACCTCCCTTATTGTCTTCAAATGCCTGCCTGGTTTTGGCCCCTTACCCATTTTAGTATTGTCTGAAGAATTAGCAGCATGGCTTGGTGAGTTACGCTGTGACCTAAGGTCTTGGGGACACCTTGATTTTTGGTGCTGTTTGGTACAATCAATTTGGATTTACTTACTACAGTTTAAAACCAAACACACTCATACTGGGAGTTTTATGTGTCACATTGTGCGTATTTTGATTGTAGCTCCCCCTCCTACCCCGGCCCTTTGTTTGTTGCTCATTGTCTCATATTGTAAAAGTTGTTTGGTGCCAGGATCATGTCTTTGTGTGGACTCCTTTTATGCAGTACAGGTATAATGTTAAGGCTCTAGGAGCGTGACCTCCACCATGCTAAGCAACATCATCACTGCAAACTCCTCTGTACAAAAAAAGGGCTCCCACCAGACTTCTCTCTCCTGCTCTATTCAGCCTCCTCCCGCAAAATGCTGAAATCACTTAGCAAAAGTCCAGTCTTGGTAGTGGCAATCTTTCACCCAGTTTCATACAACACTGGTATCTGGACACCAGTGCTAATAAGTTAAATATCTGAGAGCTCTGAGGCTGTGGTAGGTCCACTTAATGTGTTGCAAATAACTTTGTTTTACTCCTTCTTCCTGTAGCACTTACAGATTTACGCCATAAATGTACGCAGGAGACTGGTGGATGACTGCCAATCAATTGGTCATTCCTGAACAGAAGTCCTGTAGGATACTGCAATTAAACAGAAGTTGTTTATCTTCCTGTTAGTAACATAAAAGGTTCTGAATTGGTGAAGAGCAATATAAGACTCCTTTATGTTGTGCTCTGTGGTTGAACATATGCACATATTTAAAAGCCATTCATTTGCAATTCAAAGAAAGTTCATAAAGGTTGGAACATTGCTTGGCAATTTCTTATTCCTTCTCCTCACGATTATGACTAGCAGAAGAAGAATATCCCACTGCAGAATGTTAATTTTACAGTGAATAGCAGCACAACAAGGAGAGAGTACATGTTTTAGGATATTTCTCTCTCACCTCACCTCATATCTTTGGGATTACATTTTTAGAAAGGAAGCATTTACAAAGACAATTCTGTAAAATAAAGCAAATTATTGGCATTGTAGCCTATGCAATGACTGTGATTTTGTTTTCTGGGTACTAGACCCTCATACTTTAAGAAGTCTGCTCTCTGCTGGAGTTAGCTAGCTTCCATTTTGTGCTCAGTTGAGATAGTATGTGTGAAATCCTCTCCTATCTCAGTGCCCTAATCCACAGGCTAGTTTGAGGCAGATTTCTCTCCTGCATGAAATAGTGAGAGATCCAAGCTCCCCCTGCATATCAGGCCGAGTGGGGATTTGAACCCAGCTTTTCCAGATTCTAGCTGAGTGCTCTAGTTACTGGGCTAAAGGCACCACTTCCTCCATCAGCTATATTTTGTATTGTTCCTGATCTGGTAGGCATGTTCTTTAGCAGCCTCTGAGCACCCCTACCTGCCAGGGCCCCAAAGGCAAGATACATGGGGAAACATCTAGTTTGTGAATCCAGCTGCAGCTTAGATATGAGTTAGGTGTCAAGATGCTCTTAAGTGGCTTTGTGCACGTCCAGTGACAGAAATTTAGGCACCATGGGGACTTTAGTGGTGGAAACTTAGGTGCCCAGGGACTTCAGGTACCTTCAGGGCTAGGCAGCAACTGAGCGGTGGTTTTGTGAATGCCAGTGGTGCCTAAATGTCAAATTTAGGCAGCTAACGTGGCAGTTAGGTGCCTACGTCCCCCTTGTAAATCCAGCATTAGCTGAATCATCCAAAATTCTGCTAGAGATGCCCAGGCAATCACCAGTGAGCTTGCTGCACCATCCTTGAAAGGAATGCAGTATGCTTCCCTCAGTGACCAGCCCCTTGGCTAGCCTGTGTGGAGTGGAACCATGATCTAGCCCCCATCCTCAGTCTGGTCCATCACCTTTTGAACTCAATGGAAAGACTCCCATTGACGTCAATGGGGGTTGCATCAAGCTGCCTCTCCTTCTGTGCCCTCTTTGAGTTACTGGGGGCTGAAGCGACCAGAGTGTAGGTTCCCAGATTCTCAGGATTCTGGCCAATCCCTGAATTGAGCTGAAAGATACAGGAGCATCTTGGGTTCTGCCTTACCCCTCCCATCTGTGAGCATCCATGCAGGGGCTAGCCAGAATCTGGCCCAATGTTAGTTATAAAACTTTGGAGATGAAAAGCACTTTGTAAGAATCAAATATTGGTACAGATGTGGGAGTAATTTATGAATGAATTTATGAACACTGCATAAGCCAGGATTTTGAGATCAGTTTAGGTAATATATTTAAATGCTGCAACATGTTCTCTGTAGTGTAGAAGAGCACTCATTTGATTTTACTACTTATTTTTTCCTGCATTTACTGAGCGATCCATGGTTTACACAGCTGTGGAAATGCTAAATGTCCGTAAGCCATGGTTTTCAAACATTTACAGTGACATCACACATCCATTAGCTTATTTATGAAAAATTATGTAACAATAAATAAGTTACATGTTTACACACAGAGTGTAAATATTGACCATGCACGATACAGAAAGGCTAAAACCCAAGACAGTACCTTTCCAAGGATGGGTTGGTTTCATTTCTTTGTTTAAACACTGTCCAATGCTAGAAAACCATCACAACTAAATAGAAATGGCTAGGGAACCTCAGCTGAAGTAACCTGGCAAATAGCTCAGGATTTGGCTCAGAGACTCTGATGTTCATCTCACCTTTGCTGTGCTGCAGATTTTTTTGCACAGTTCTCTGTGTAGCTACTTATCTCATCTCTCACAAGATCAGGCAGGCATTAACAGTAATTGCTTTCTTTGCTCTGAAGCCACTCTTCACATTTCAGACTGAGGAACTACTGGAAGTTAATTGTTGAACACAAGGCACTATTTCTAGAGTGCTTAAGGTCTCTAGTCTCCTAGGGTCTCTCTGATTTTGTAAAATATATGCATATCCTGAAATGGCTGTTTGATTACATCAACTGGAGCTTTAGGGCTGAATTGAGTCACCCCAGGTTTCCCTGACTCAAGCCTTAGTGGGATCCAGGAAGTGGGCGGGCAAAGCAATAGACAGATATTTCTTGCTTTTGATGCCATGTGGTGGGGTGTAAACACCACAGAGGTGAACAAAGGGTTAACAGAAGTCTGAGAGCTCAATTAACCCCCTTTGCTCTATCTGGAGGGTGTGTCAGGCTTGGTTTATCAGACCCAGCTGGGGCAAAGCTAAGCCTTCTACATAAAGGAAGGAAGTGAAAGCTACAGGGGAGGCTTAGGAGGAAAGTAGGCTGGAGTTTCCCTTCACTCTGGGGAAGGAACTATGAGGAAACTGTAGGAGAGGAGCTAGCCCCACCTGTAGGCCCTGTGAAAAATAGCCAAGGTAGTTGATGTTCTGGATTTGGAACAAGGACCTGGGGAGATCCTGGTAGGACTAAAAGCTCAAGTCAGACTGGGTGGGGATGGCTTTAGTTTGGTTTGTTTGGGGTTTTCTGTGTTCTGTTGGGAGATACAGGGAGGAAGCCTGGGAGTCTGCCGCTTTGTGAGAAAAGGGGAACGGCAGAGGAGCCCTGGATGGGATTAAGATGCTCTGTTGTTAATTAGAGTTGTGGGACATTGCTACTCTGCAAGGAGTAAGACTTTAAGGTGATTTGGCTGGAGGACTGAGTCACCAAACGAAGCAGATCATGGAGGGCCAAAGTGGCTGTTGGCAGGGACACCAACTGCGGAGAGCCTGCTGTGCCATGTCCCCTCATGTGGAGGTGCGTTGGCCAGCAAGTCGCTCTTCTGTGTGCTGCCTATGGAAGTGTGAATGACTTCTATCCCCCCCCACCCATAATTAAAGGAGGAAGAGACTGTATTATTAAAGTAAAAATGCCCATTTCTTGACAATGGTGGCTTTCACTAACTAGGTATGTCACAGCTAAATAGCTATGATTTCTGATTTGGGTCCATTGAGAAATAACGGTAATTGATAAATAATGTTCTGTGTTTGTGTAGAGCCTAACACACAAGAAGACCCTAACCCATGACTGGGGGGTTACTAAGCACTACTGTACTACACATAATAAAAAATATAATATGAATGAGAGAGCACCTTCTGCTGTGGAAGCTCAAACATTATTTACCCATGTAGAACCCAGTCCTGCAATGCAATTCATGCAGGTTGTCCCCTTTGCCCATGCAGTGAGGTCAGTTGGGTTCTAGGACAGCATAGGAGTCTGCTGACATATAACTCATTGCAAGGTGGACGCTTTTAAACATAATTTAGGAATATTTTGTTCCCTGGTAAGAAGTGGCCATGTCTGTGGCTTTTGGAGGTGCTGACCTGCTCTCGCAGGGCAAAGATGCACAAGTGCGCATTTTTGAACAGAAAATACTGAAACTTAACTGTTGTTGTTACTACTACTGCTCTTCCAGCTTCGTTCTCTTAAGAAAACAATGTCCAAGTGATCTTGTTTGTGTGTGAATTTTTGCCTTCCATGACCTCTTAGTATTGAGGCCAGTGAAGGAATCACTGACATCTCTTAAAGACATTGGTCCAAATTCAGCAGGGACATAACTTCACCCGAGATAACAAAGTGTCAGCTTGGTCCATTGATTTCTTCCCTTCTGATTCTCTGCTGCTAAGACCAGAACAGGCTGAGCTGTATCATTGCCAACACCTTAATGTGAGATTCAGTCACAACATCCTGAGCATAACTCAGCTTCTCTGCTCCAACGGTTTCTATATTTTTAGTCATACAAGATATCTGACTTCCCATTTGACACCGTGGATTAAATTTATGGTGAGCATAAATTGGGCATATACCTCTGAACTCAATGGAATGACAACTACTTGTAAGGGAAGGCATCACTTGGCCTAAAATGACTGGAGATATTAATGTGCTGGATTTTGTCAAAAGAGTAGGCTTATCTCAGGAATCTACTCATGACTCTGAGTTCTGCATTGCCTCAAAATGGTAAAAACACAGCATGGAAATATCTGTGATGAGTTAGCTTCAGGATCCATTCAGGAAACCCAAGATAAGCTTTCTTGTGTTAGTCCTCATATGGACAAAACTCCCACTGGCTTCTGCAAGATTGTGGTTAATCAATATGTAGATCTCCTACTCACCTAAGCCTTTACCAGGTCTACCACATCTCATCTGCTGGAAGATTATCATGGCACTAGTGCCTCCGAGCCTCTAGTTATGAACCAGGACCACATTTGTACTGTACAAACACTGAAGAAAAAGATGGTGCCTGCCCAAAGAGTTTACAATAGATGTATAAGACAAGAGCCAGCAGGTGGATACAGACAGAAGGCAGAGCACAAGGAAAAAAGGAGAGAATTCTGGTCAGCATAATAGGCAGTGATCTCAGCACACACCAGCTACCTAACTGTTCTCAAATGAGGAAAAACAGCTAATCATAGAAATGTAAGTTAGGGCTGGAAGGGACCTCAAAGTCATTAAGTCCAGCCTCCTGTGCTGAGGCAGGACCAAGTAAACCTAGACCATCCCTGACAGGTGTTTTTGTCCAACCTGTTCTTAAAAACCTCCAGTGAAGGGGATTCCACAATCTACTCCAGAGCTCAATTACCCTCCTAGTTAGAAAGTTTTTTCTAATAGTTTAATCTAAATCTCTCCCTTGCTGCAGATTAAGCCCCTTACTTGTTGTCCTACCTTCAGGGGACATGGAGAGCAATTGTTCTCCAT